AGTAGTCGCTGGGCAGCACGGGAGGAGACAGGAGGTCGTAGAGTGGCATGGAATGAGAAACAGTTGCTGAGCGGTGCAGGGTGAGCCTGGGGCAGACTGACAACTAATAGGGGGTCATGGGGCCCCTGTATCCTTGCCCAAACTTAAAAAAGCCTATGAAAAAGGTACCAGGGGCATCTCATGGGGCCCCCTACTGACCCCGGGCCCTCGGACAGTGCCCGAGTTTCCAAATGGTCAGTCCGCCCCTGAGGTTGAGCGGAGTGACTGCTGGGGGGCCCTGGATGGGAGGAGGAGTCACTGAGTGGTGTTGGATAAGTGGAGCTGACACTAGGGGGCCCTGGAGAAGAGGGGTCATCACTGAGCAGCATGGAATGAGAGGAGCGGTCACTGGGGGGGGGGGGGGTGCTGGATGAGAGGTACAGTCATTGGGGTGCTAGAAGAGGGCAGGAGTCGCTGAGCAGCATGGAATGAGAGGAGTGGTCACTGGGGGGTGGGGTACTGGATGAGAGGTGCCTTCACTGGGTGGCACAGGATAACTGGATAAGAGGATCAGTTACTGAAGGGCCCTGAATAAGAGGAGTTGTCACTGGGGGGCCCTGGATGAGATGTGTAGTCACTGGGGGGCTGTGGATGAGAGCAGTGGTCATTGGAGGGCCCTGGATGAGATGAGTGATTACTGGGGGGCTGTGGATGAGATGAGTGATTACTGGGGAGGCCATGGATGAGTAGAGTTGTCACTGGGGGGCTGTCGATGAGTGGTCACTGGAGGGCCCTGGATAAGGTGAGTGGTCACTGAAAAGCCTTGGATGAGAGGAGTGGTCACTTGAGGGCCCTGGATGAGAAAAGTTATCACTGGGGGGCTGTGGATGAGATGAGCAGTCACTGGAGGCCCTGGATAAGAGGAGGGATTACTGGGGGGGGGGCTTGGATGAGAGGAGTGGTCATTGGGGGCCCTGGATGGGAGGAGTGGTCATTGGGGGCCCTGGATGGGAGGAGTGGTCATTGGGGGCCCTGGATGGGAGGAGTGGTCATTGGGGGCCCTGGATGGGAGGAGTGGTCACTGGGGCCCTGGATGAGAGGAGTGGTCATTGGGGGCCCTGGATGGAAGGAGTGGGCATTGAGGGCCCTGGATGGGAGGAGTGGTCATTGGGAGCCCTGGATGGAAGGGTCAGTGGGCATTGGGGGGGGCCCTGGATGGAAGGAGTGGGCATTAGGGGCCCTGGATGGGAGGAGCTGTCACAGAGCCAGCAGCAGAAGGGATGAAAGGAGAAGCACTACAAGGTGAATAGCGGCAGACCTTTATCCAGTGATCTCATTGCCATCTGGCTAAATGGTTAGCACTTCTGCCTGGCAGTACTCAGATCGTTGGTTCAAATCCCAACCGCTGCACCACCTGCCTGCAGTTTGTATGCTCTCCCTGTGCCTGTGTGGGTTTCCTCCGGGTACTCCGGTTTCCTCCCACACGCCAAAGGCATGCTGGTCGGTGAATTGTCTCCTGTCTAAATTGTCCCTAGTATGTGTATGTATGAATGTGAGTTAGGGACCTTAGACTGTACACCCCTTGAGGGTTAGGGACCTTAGATTGTACGCCCCTTGAGGGTTAGGGACCTTAGATTGTACGCCCCTTGAGGGTTAGGGACCTTAGATTGTACGCCCCTTGAGGGTTAGGGACCTTAGATTGTACGCCCCTTGAGGGTTAGGGACCTTAGATTGTACGCCCCTTGAGGGTTAGGGACCTTAGATATATGCCCCTTGAGGGTTAGGGACCTTAGATTGTACACCCCTTGAGGGTTAGGGACCTTAGATCGTACGCCCCTTGAGGGTTAGGGACCTTAGATTGTACGCCCCTTGAGGGTTAGGGACCTTAGATCGTACGCCCCTTGAGGGTTAGGGACCTTAGATTGTACGCCCCTTGAGGGTTAGGGACCTTAGATCGTACGCCCCTTGAGGGTTAGGGACCTTAGATCGTACGCCCCTTGAGGGTTAGGGACCTTAGATTGTACGCCCCTTGAGGGTTAGGGACCTTAGATTGTACACCCCTTGAGGGTTAGGGACTGATGTGAATGTACAATATATATGTAAAGCGCGGCATAAATTGATGGCGCTATATAAGTACCTGAAATAAATAAATAATCTGACATTGCCGATCACAGGATATTGTGGGGTTCTCGGATGGGCAGATCTCCAGAGATTTCAAGCTACAGACATGATGGAATGTGCGGTGAGGGAGGTCAGCCCTGAGCCTTCCAGGCCAGCCAAGAACACCGGAGAGATTTTCGGGACTTCGTTTCATTATCTGAATATGTAAAAAGCTCGGCCGGCATTAGAAAGAACAAATTGCTTTTCTGACTGTAAAGTATATAGATGACCCAGGGCTGGACTGCATCCAGCATGGTGAGGAATGGATCCGTCTTTTCAGCTGTGAAGTAAAGTGAGAGCCTTTCCATCATTCAGATTTGAACAGTTGGAGGTCGTTCTGTTTAATATAACATGAACATATTTATTGTAATCTCTACAACAGATTAGAATGTATCTTCTTGTTTTATGATTGATATTTCGTTTTCCAACCCTGATGATTGGACGTGTTGACCTGAAATGCAGTGTCTGGTGACCCATCTGGTGTCACCTCATTCTCTTCACATTCTTTAGACTACTCAGGGAACTCCATGGATACCTCAGTTGATGGAGAGCTGTCTCTAAAATCCAGATCTAAAAATGCTGTCCCTCCTTTTTTTTTTCTGGGTCCAACCCTCTGCCGACATACCTTTCGTCTTATAAGATTTGAGGGAACATCTCCACAGTAGGTAAACGGATTACAAGGAGAACCTGAAATAGGTTCCAACCTTTGGAGTTGGCCTTCATGGGGCATTCTGTACACAAAATATACTCTTATAATATACAAAAATCAGCAGCGAAACTGCCCAGGCCAACATCACCAGGAAGATAAAAAGCAACCGAATGCCTGAACTCCTCAGCCAACAGATACCTAGAATTCTACAGTCCCCCACCAGACATCCTTCAGGGTGACTGGACCAATGCCTGAACTCCTGCACTGGACAATGGACTCCACAATGTCTGTATCCCCACATGGAGTATAGAAGGAATGCAAGCTTTGCTGCCCTCAACGGACCAGAGAAATCCAAAAAGAACTGTATATGAAGAAACATAAAGAGGGCGCATGGGCCTAGTGCATTACCTTCAAAAATGAGATTTAATGATAAAAAGTAAAATACTCACAAAGGAATAAAATCAAATGAAGAGCATGTAGCAAGAAATGCAACGTGGTCCAATCACCCTGAAGGATGTCTGGTGGGGGACTGTAGACCTCTCGGTGGCTGTTGGCTGAGGTTTTCGAGGCCTTGGGCCCTGAGGAAGAGGCACAGCCTGAAAACGCATCAGCCAAAAGCCACCTAGAGGTCTACAGTCATGTGGGGATACAGACATTGCGGAGTCCACTGTCCGGCGCAGGAGTAGGAGTTCAGGCATTCGGTTGCTTTTTATCTTCCTGGTGATGTTGCCCTGGGCAGTTTTCGCTGCTGATTTTTGTATATTTTAAGAGCTGTGTACAGAATGACCCATGAAGGCCAACTCCAAAGGTTGGAACCTATTTAAGGTTCTCCTTGTAATCCGTTTACCTACTGTGGAGATGTTCCCTCAATGCTTATAAGACAGAAGGTATGTCGGTAGAGGGTTGGACCCCCAAAAAAATGAGGGACAGCATTTTTAAAGGTAATCCACTAGGCGCCCTCTTTATGTTTCTTCATATACAACATCAGCAGCAGGCAAATGTGTCAAAAATGATACATTATATGGCCAAGTTTATGGACGCCTGACCATCTTGCCTATATCACCAAATGTATGTTCCACCCTCTTCCTTATGACGGAGTTCAGTTGTCTCCAGTGAAGATTCTTGGTAATACTCCATCATACAGAGACATTGTAGACAATTGTGCTCTTCCAACCTTGTGGTAACGGTTTGGTGAAGACCCATTTCTGTTTGAGCATGACTGTGCCCCCATGTACAAAGCCAGTTCCCACAGACAGGTCTAAATTTGTAGGAAGCCTTTCCAGAAGAGTGGAGCCAGCTCCACGAGGACATAGAGCAATGCATTTGGATTAAATAACTCCAGTGTCCTGCACAAGTCTCTGACCTAAACCCGACTGAACACTTTTGGGATGAATTGGAAGGTCAATGGTGAGCTAGGTCTTCTCATCCAGTATTAGTACCTGACCTCACAAATGGGCACAAATTCCCACAGAAATCCTCCAAAATCTTGTGAAAAGTCTTCCCAGAAGAGTGGAGGATGTTATGGCCACAAAGTGGGGCCAACTCTATATTTAAGACCATGGGGAGCAATACCATATTGATAGCCATGAGGGAGGCAACTGCATAATAATGGCCATGGTAGGGGCAACTTCATATTAATGGCCACGGTGGAGGACAACTTCATATTAATGACCTTGTTGGGGGGAAACTCCATATTAATGGCCACGGTGGGGTACAACTCCATATTAATTTCACAGTGGGGTACAACTCCATATTGTTGGCCATGTTGGGGGGCAACTCCATATTAATGGCCACAGTGGGGGACAACTTCATATTTATGGACATTGAAGGGGGTGAGGAGCAGCTCCATACTAATGGACTTGGTTTTGAAATAGTATGTTCAACAAACCCATATAGGTTTGATGGTCTGACTGCCAACTCTATATTTCAGGCCATGAGGAGCAATTCCATATTGATAACCATGGTGGAGGCAACTCCATATTAATGGCCATGTTGGGGGACAACTTCATATTTATGGACATGGAAGAGGGGGGCAGTTCCAAACTAATGGACTTTATTAGTATCACTCTTGGAATTTCTTGAAACATATTTGGTATGCGGATGAAGAGTGGGAAGACACAGAGGAGATTCGGTTTCACCTGAACATGTCTCCAACTAGGCAGCAGGAATGTTCCAGTTCACTTCATCCAGCAAATTTACGGTGTAGGCCGGGAGATGATATCATGGGGTACTTATGTCCCTTCCATCTGGTGACATTGTGTAGGTGTTCCATGTGATTTATACTGACCCATCCATACTGGAAGATCTATGAAGGAACTTTTGTAGTGTCAGTGACAGGGGCGGACTGACAACTCATGGGGCCCCCGGGTAATAGGGGATCATGGGGCCCCTGTTTCCTTGCCCAAACTCAAAAAAGCCTATGAAAAAGGTACTAGGGGCATCTCATGGGGCCCCCTACTGACCCCGGGCCCTCGAGCAGTGCCTGAATTCCCAAATGGTCAGTCCGCCCCTGGTCAGTGAGAGGAGTTCAAAGCCAGCTCCAACACCTTGCCACACCCATCTGCTCAGTATACAATCCAGTCTCTCCTCACAGACACCGATCAATCCATCCATCAATGTGTCATTGCGATCCTCCTCCATCCTCCATCATTCCTTGTCCAACTTCATCCATCTCTTGTGTTACCTGCAGCATCATTTGTCCCTCCAGTAATGTCACTCTGGTGTCCATCCAATGTCCTCCATCATTGCAGATCTCTCCAAACCTCCAGATCCTGATAAGTCTCCCTCATTAATCTCCAATCCATCACTGGACACATCAACACTTCTCTGACCCTACACTGGGACCATTCCATAGATGTTACCCTGACATATTCTGCCGTATGAAGACATTTTAAGTTCCGGGGTCTGTACGCTCGCTGTGCCCATTATGAGGGGTTCCCACCATCCCTGTGCTGAGTTCCTGGGTCTGTACTCCTGCTGTGCCCATTATGAGGGGTTCCCACCATCCCCGTGCTGAGTTCCCGGGTCTGTACGCCCGCTGTGTCCATTATGAGGGGTTCCCACCATCCCTGTGCCGAGTTCCCGGGACTGTACGCCCGCTGTGCCCATTATGAGGGGTTCCCACCATCCCTGTGCCGAGTTCCCGGGTCTGTACGCCCGCTGTGCCCATTATGAGGGGTTCCCACCATCCCTGCTGGATATTTGTTACACTTATAATAGAAAAAGTTGACAAGCCCCAGTGGTAGAGGCAGTGGCGTCCCGAGGCAGGTTCAGGGGGGGAGTGCGTGCCGCACCGGGTGACACCGGACCCTCTCCATGAAAAGGTAAGTTGTAAAGCAAGCCGACGATCCCCGCAGGATGAATCGGATCTGCAGATTGGGAAGCATAATGGATCGGAGTCCAGTCCATTATGCTCAATCTGCAGATCTGATCCATCCTGCGGGGATCCTCGGAGGGGGTGACACCACGTGTTATGGCACCGGGTGACACCAACCCTACGGACGCCTCTGGGTAGAGGACACATTTACTCCTTTAAGTTGGGATAGCAGACGCAGGAATTATAATGGGAAGAGATAACAGGAACCAGCACGAGATTCAGCCTGGGGGACTCCACATCTAACCGACACGCCAGTTCTGGGTGGGATCCTTCTTTATGTTCCATACACACAGCCATGTCCCATGTGCTGCAGTTGTCAGTCCTGATTCTTCCAGTCTGTTGGTGTCATTGTCTGCCAACCTACAGCAGTCACACTGTGCCAACTCAGGCGGCCAACCTGTCCATCTGCTGGTGTCTCTTGCAGACTTCCCTCCATTCAGCCCCTGTCTGCTCATCTTATGTACCTCCGCAGGACCCCTAATAATAGACAGGACTGGGGGATTATTAGGGGACGCAACATTTGGGGGGGGGGGGTGGTGGTAAATCATTGTTGCTTTGTCCTTCACATGGAACAACACAAGAAAGCTTTATGCAGGCCATAGACGGGTCAAAAAAAATTGGCCAATTTTCACACCGTTAGTGGGTTAACTGGTCGGCCGTTTTTCAGGGTTTTAGCACATTTTTTTTATCGGTCAAGTTGGAAAATTCGCAGCCGATTTTCCCAGGAAGAGGAAGAAGAAGAGGAAGAAAAGAGGAAGAAGAGGAAGACGAAGAGAAGGAGGAGGAAGAGGAGGAAGAAGAGGAAGAAGAAGAGGAAGAAGAAGAGGAAGAAAAAGAGGAAGAAGAGGAAGACGAAGAGGAAGAAGAAGAGGAAGAGGAGGAAGAAGAGGAAGAGGAAGAGGAGGAAGAGGAGGAGGAAGAAGAGGAAGTAGAGGAGGAAGAGGAGGAGGAAGGAGGAGGAGGAGGAGGAAGAGGAGGAGGAGGAGGAAGAGGAAGAAAAAGAGAAAGAAAAAGAGGAGGAAGAAGAAGAGAAGAAAGGAAGAAGAGGAGAAGAGGAGGAAGAAGAAGAGGAAGAAGAGGAAGAAGAAGAGGAAGAGAAGGAAGAAGAGGAGGAAGAGGAGGAAGAAGAAGAGGAAGAAGAGGAAGAAGAAGAGGAAGAAGAGGAGAAAGAGGAGAAGGAAGAGGAGTAGGAAGAGTATACATGCCGGGATGCTTCGCTTTTGCAATGGCAAACATTACACAGCATGACAAATTCAGCGAGCAGTACTGCTGCCACACGTGAGCCAATTCAGTACATGCAACTGTGTGCCACGCAAGTGATGCGACGGGTCAGCATGTTCGGGGCTAAAAACGCAACATATCGCCTCATCGCTGTGTGTTACATGCGTCTAAGAAACCATCCACCACAGATCGCTCTTCAGAGGTGCGGCAAGGGATTCCACATGAATGAATGAGACCTTTGTGATGAGAAATGAACACCTTAATGTAGCGTTCTGCAGATGCACCGAGCCGAAGGAAGATTACAGAGGAGGGTGTCAGGGTGTCAGACACCAGAATTCAGTCATTTTAGCCTCCTGCAGGATCGTCCTGCGAGCGCTGCGCAACTCGGCCGCCATTATATCACCTATTATTATTACTATTTACTTATGTACTATTTTATATTATTATTAGTAGTAGTTGTTGTAGTAGTAGTAGCAGTAGTAATATTGGCAGTAGTAGTAGTATAGTAGTTGTAGTAGTATTAGTAGCAGTAGTAGTAGCTGTAGTATTAGTAGCAGTAGTAGTTTCTAGTAGTAGTAGTTATATTAGTAGTAGTAGTTGTAGTAGTAGTAGCAGTAGTAATATTAGAAGTAGTAGTAGTAGTATTAGTAGTTGTAGTAGTATTAGTAGCAGTAGTAGTAGTAGTATTTGTTGTGGTATTAGTAGCAGTAGTAGTCGTAGTTTCTAGTAGTTGTAGTAGTATTAGTAGTTGTAGTAGTATTAGTAGCAGTATTAGTAGCAGTAGTAATATTGGCAGTAGTAGTATTAGTAGTAGTAGTAGTTAGTAGTAGTTAGTAGTAGTATTAGTAGCAGTAGTAGTATTGGTAGCAGTAGTAGTATTGGTAGCAGTAGTAGTATTGGTAGCAGTAGTAGTATATAATATTGGCAGTAGTAGTAGTAGTAGCATTAGTAGTTGTAGTAGTAGCAGTAGTAATATTGGCAGTAGTAGTAGTAGCATTAGTAGTTGTAGTAGTAGCAGTAGTAATATTGGCAGTAGTAGTAGTAGCAGTAGTAATTTTGTAGTAGTAGTAGCAGTAGTAATATTGGCAGTAGTAGTAGTAGCATTAGTAGTTGTAGTAGTAGCAGTAGTAATATTGGCAGTAGTAGTAGTAGTATTGGTAGTTGTAGTAGTAGCAGTAGGAATATTTGCAGTAGTAGTAGTATTAGTAGTTGTAGTAGTAGTAGCAGTAGTAATATTGCAGTAGTAGTAGTAGTATTAGTAGTTGTAGTAGTAGCAGTAGTAATATTAGTAGTAGTAGTAGTAGTAGCAGCAGCAGTAGTAATATTAGCAGTAGTAGTAGTAGTATTAGTAGTTGTTGTAGTAGTATTAGTAGCAGTATTAGTAGCAGCAGTAATATTAGTAGTAGTAGTAGTTGTAGTAGTAGCAGTAGTAATATTGGCAGTAGTAGTATTAGTAGTTGTAGTAGTATTAGTAGCAGTAGTAATATTGGCAGTAGTAGTATTAGTAGTTGTAGTAGTATTAGTAGCAGTAGTAATATTGGCAGTAGTAGTATTAGTAGTTGTAGTAGTATTGGTAGCAGTATTAGTAGCAGCAGTAATATTAGCAGTAGTAGTAGTAGTTGTAGTAGCAGCAGTAGTAATATTAGCAGTAGTTGTAGTATTATTAGTAGCAGTATTAGTAGTATAGTAGTAGTAGTATTTGTAGAAGTAGTATTATTATTGGTAGTTGTAGTAGTACTGTTGTTGTTACTGTTTTTGTTGTTGTTGTTGTTGCTGTTTTTATTATTAGCATTCATATTATTCCTAATGATTAATATGGGTAATATGTGGATATCAGGAAACATGTTTTTGCGTGTGTTCCTGACATGTACACGTGTGAGCGTAGCCTCAGGGTCAGTTCACACCACATAAACGCACTCTGGATGCACTCCGGATACGTTGTTGCTTTGTTGCTCACAGTTCACACCACGTGCAGTTCCGGTGCAGTTTTGATGCAGTTCGCTGTGTTCCGGTTCTGCGCAGATAAAATGCCAGCTTTTCTACTTTTTTTTCTGTGCCAAACACTGACTGGAGCTGACTGCACTGGTGTGAACCAGGACCACTGGAATACATGGAAAACACTGCGCATGCATTTTTGATGCAGGAAAAAAGCGCACTGAACTGCATCTAGTGTGAACATGCTCACCTGCCTGCTGGCAGTCCTGTGCTGAACATACGCTCAATGCAGCTCAGCATGCATCCCTGGCACACTCTGGCTGTGCTGGAATCACTGACTCCCATGCATATGCGCAGGATAACGTCCATTGCCGGCCAATCAGGAGGCTGAAATCCCGGCACCTGGAAGAAGCTGAGGCAGAAGGTGACAGCAGCCGGGTGAGTGGATTTGGAGGTCAGGCTAGTTCCATTTGAAGGGCCCATTCACACCTTTAGCTGCGGTGCATTAGCACATGCACAGTAACACGCGTCGCAGTGAGGCAGCCCATTCGTTGTCAATGCACGGCATGTTCTTGGGCTCATCTGTACCATGCATGGAGGTGCTATTCACAATGAACAGCCCGGCATCGCAGGGCGCACAGAGCAGGTACCCCATAGGATGAGTGTGATTGGACCTCACACTGCACAGCAGCCCGTCTGGTCTACAGGCACAGAGCATCCACATCGGAAATTTTCTGTGTTTTAGTCATTATCCTCCCTTCTGGACAGAACGTTCCCATTAATGTATCATTAAAGCCACCGCGGCTTCTGATCCCCCGAATGTCCTATTCATCCT